AGTTCCTCAAACAATCGCAGATAGATCTACCATATGACCCAGCTATCCCACTGCTGGGAATATACCCAGAGGAATGGAAATCATCATGTGGAAGGGATACCTACACTCCCATGTTTATTGCAGCTCTATTTACCATAGCCAAGAGTTGGAACCAGCCCAAATGTCCATCATCTGATGACTGGATAAGGAAACTGTGGTACATCTACACAATGGAATACTATTCTGCAATAAAAAAAGAATGAAATACTACCATTTGCAACAACAGGCACAGAAAGAGAAATACCACATGTTCTCACTTATTTGTGGGAGCTAAAAATAAATAAATAAATAAATATACAAACAAATGAATGGTAGGTGAGGGAAGAAGACACAACAATCACAACAATTCCTTGAACTTGTTAAGACAAGTGAACAGATAGGATGTAGTTGGGGGGGAAGGGAGAGAGGGAGGGCAGAAAGAGGAACGGGTAAAGGGTCATGAAAATCAACTACAATGTATATTGAGAAGTTAAAATAAAAAACAAATAAACAAATAAAAATTTTAAAAATTTTTTTTAGAAAAATGCTTCCTGATGGGGAACCCACTGTGTCCCAGGGCCCAGGGTGAGCCTGAGCTCCTCAGGCCCCCCCACTGGAGGGAATAAAGGGAGGGGCTGGGGCATGGCAAGCTGGAACAGGCAGGTCCCTACTGATGCCTACACATGCACCCTACATCCTGTTGCACCTTATATATGCCTCACACGCAGAGAAATCGTTGGTTGGTGAAAATGAAGAAGTGATTACACAGACACGCCTGTTTCTGCTCCCAGAGACTGAAAAACCCCAGAAACCAAACAAGGGTATATTTTCCAAAAGGAAGAGTAAGGCAACCAGAAGCCAAAGCCATAACGACCATCCTTTACGGTCCTTCGCATGCGTTCTTTCTAATCCTTGCAACAGGCCCACCAGGAAGGCATTCTGAGTTTCATCTGAAAGATAAGGCAGCTGAGGAACAGGGAGGTTATGCAACTTTTAAGGTTACACAATAGGGAAGCGTAGGAAACGGGACTCACAACTAAAGCCGATGCTGTTTTAACATTGTCATACTGCCTCTCTATATTCTCTCCTTGACTGGGATATATAAATTTACAAGCACATCTATACAATTATTATTTTTTAGAATATTTGAGTGTGTTGGTGGAAGCCAGGGAAGTTGCCCATCTTTACAGGTGAGGAGGCTTTCCCATTATCACATGGGCCACATCTGCCCAACGCGTCCCTCAACTCAGCATCCCTCCTGAGCCATCTCCGTGGCTCCCTGCCCAGGCCAGTCCTGCCAGCCTGCAGCCAGGCTCGTTCTCCTGGCCACACAGATCACCTGCCAGGTGTAGGTGACAATTTGGAAGCCTGGCTCCAACTTCCAAGGATTTCAAACAAGTGCCTGCCACCCTCAGATGGCCAAATCTTCTTTCCCGAGCCTGGAAAAAATTTGCTCGTTTCTGATCCGAATTGCCTTGTTTTAGTTTTTATTTGGGGGATTGAGCAAGAGCCATTCCAGAATTGCAAATGATAGTTCCCATGGTTCCACCAACCTAAACACCAAAACTGAGACCCAGGACAGATGCTCTATGTGAGAGATGCTATTTGCTCTGCCAAGTCTCCAGAGAAGAGATTTCATTAGGTATTCATTTATATGCCGTACACATTTCTAGAACACTCTTCTCCATTCGTCTTGGAATCTTTCAAACATCAAAAAGTAAAGTTATATATTAGCTAGCTACACTCCCAGGACATCTCTACTGATCCCAAAAGGAATGATTAAAATGTGCTGACAGCTTTGAAAATTATCAGAGAATTACCAGAATATCCCGTTTAATAATTACCAAGGTTTAAAAACCAGAGTCGAATTCAGAGACTTTTAAACATCACTGTGTCGGTCACCTTACTAATTCTAAAATTCTATAGTCTACACTCTTGGTCTTGGTCATTTCATCTACTTTTATGGCTTCAACTAAAACTTCTCTGTTATACACATCTGTAACTCCAACTTCTTTCCTGCTAGATTTCCAACTGCTGGATTTCTCTCCCTGGGTGTCTTCCCAGCACTTCCAACTCTAGACATCCGAATTTTCCCAAAACCTGCTCGCTCTCTCTTTTTACGTCCCTTTTATTGCTAATACCATCACCATATTCCCAGTCATTTGACACACATCGCTTCTGTGAATTAAAAATCATCAGTGCCATTTGTTGACCACGGAAGGAGCTAAACCTCTTTGGGGGGATGACGTGCAAGGCTCCCCACAATTCATCTCAACTGACCTTTCCAGCTTTGTCTCCAACAGACCCTCCTCCAACTCTCCACATGTACATTTTTAAGGTTTCTTAAACATGCTACCATGTTCTTTCACATATTTTTGATTTTATATAAGCTGCTTTAGCTAAAGATGCTTTCTTCATTTAGTCTCCTGGTGCATTCATATTCATCCATTAAGATGTAGCTCAAATGTCACCTCCTCTGCAAAGTCTTCCCGTATTTTCTCAGACACTTTGACATTCTCTCCAATCACCTTCCCTAGAACTTTTTACATGTAGTACTAAAGCATCTATCACAGGTCATTAGTATTAATTGTACATGACTCTGTCTCCCATATTAGCTTGTGAGGGTCCCAAGGGCAATGGACCTCTATAATTCATCTTTCATTTCCTTTGGGACAGAATGTGGGACAGGAAGAAAATGTTCATTGACTGAATAAATAATGAATCAATGAATGGACCCCTCCTGTGGCACACACCACCTTCTAGCTTGTGCTGTCCTCGTTTGGGTATCTCAGCTCCCTTCTTGGATGACAAGTCTTCCAGGGCAAGAACAACATGATCCATTTTTTAATCCCCTACCACACCCTCCCCTAATGCCTGTTGTTTGAATAAATGAGTAAAACTCTGTGAAGCCTTGTGCCATATTTCAGACTTTGCAAAGCTATTTCACACACATGATTTCACTTGCCCTTCACAATGACCCTGTAGTCTAGCTATGACTAATGGCATTCTCTCCATGTAGCAGATAAAGCAACTGAGGAAAGCTGGGCCTTGGAACCCTGCTTTCTTGACTCTTAGAACAATGCCTCTTCCATGTAATGTCCTTACATTACACTATTTCATTGTAATGTTCTTACATTGCAGATCTCCTCATCAGTCCTTTGTTTTGATCAAAGTTTAGGGGTGAACGTAGAGGTTTACCACTGCTTGTAAAAACAGCTAAACCCGGGGCCGGCCCGGTGGCGCACTGCTACAGTGTGCCGCTTGGGAGCGTGGTGGCGCTCCCGCCGAGGGTTCGGATCCCACATACAGACCAGTTCCCACTCACTGGCTGAGCGAGGTGCGGGAGCAACACCAAGGGTTGCGATCCCGTTGCCGGTCCCGGTCCGGTACGGGGGCGACACTGAGGGTTGCGATCCGTTGCCGGACACGGAAAAAGACAAAAAGGAAAAACAAACAAACAAACAAAAAAACAGCTAAACCCTTATCTACCCCTCCTGTATGGGTTTAACATGAATAATTTGAGTGAGTGAGCTTGAAGGCTTGGAGTATGTGTCAGAAAGGGCGAAGAATCGGAACCCTTTAGGCATATTTTGGATAAGAAAAGGACTTTGAGGGCCTGAAAAGAGAAACTTCGGTTTTCATAAGATGGGGTGCTGTGCAAGGCAGCCTCAAGAGGCACTTAGTAATATTTTCTAAAACACCTACCTAAGTATACTTTTAGATCCAAGTTCCTCTAGGAGGGAAGATGTTAGAAATACTGAAAGAAAACTGAATCTATACACAGCCTTGGCCAACCTCAGCATGCTAGGGTTATGCATCTATGTGCCCGCAGCTCCGAGCAGAGGGGCCGGAATGGTGAGCTCAAAAGGGTGGCTAGACAGATGTTGTAGCCCGAGATCTGACCCAAAGGTGAGTGGGCTGGAGTGGAGGCAGCATAGGACCAGGGTCAGCACCCACCATCCAGCACCTTGGTTTCCTCTCCAGGCACAGGAAAGTCAGGGCACCTCTGCCTTGCCCTCCTCACAGGTAGCAAGGCTGACCCCCTGCTCCTGAAGGCGACTTGAGATCTGGTTAGGGCAAGTCTTGGGCAACACATTCATGGGTTCTCTAATTACTGTTCAAGCACCGGGAGGCCCTATCCCCAGGGGTCTGTGAAACAGCTGTGCTGGGAGAATGGCTTACCCACGTGATCTGCCTGACCCTCCTCAGAGGATGTTCCCCCACTGACCCCATCCCTACTTCTGGCTTCTGTTTTTCAGCTCCCCTGCTGTGCACACAGCGCCCCCGCCCCGCGCCCCCGTGGCTTAACGGGTAGTCTCTGTCCCCATCCTTGCCAAACATGGACTGGGCCAGAGAGCCAAGCTGGAGCTTGGCCACCTTGCACTTGGCATGGGGGTGGGGGCTGGTAAGGGATAGGAGAAGGGGCATTTGCCAGCAAAATCTTGCAGCCTCAGGTAGACCTAAGACAATTAGAAACTGCAGAGAATCAGGAGGGTCTGAAAGATCTTTGGCAATCGATTGGCCAGGTCCAACCCTTTCCTTCTGTTCAAGGTCGTTTTCCCAATGCCAGGATGACAACACGTTGTGGTGCATGTCTGCTCCAAGCGAGGGTGTGTATTATCCGGGTTACACTGGAGCAAATGACTGACCTTTGTGCCACCCCCTAATAGGCTTCTGCGCCTCCCCGCCCCCTTTCCCCTTGCTTCGAAAATTCCAGCAAGCGCAGGCCTGACAGCCTACCAGGGGAGAAATCCAAAGTCTGGCCCCAGACCTTCAACAGGCTTCCAGCCCCCGGCTTCGGTCCAGGGACGCACCAAATCCTTCCCCCCAGGGAGGGTTCAGTGCGCGGCCTCGGGACGATCCATGCATGGAGAGTCTGGGGGCTCCAGCCTCCGCCCCAGGGCCAGCGCGCGCCTGCCGCGGGTGGCCACCTGTCCGAGTGAGAGCGCGAGGAGGAAGGAGGGCGAGCAGCCGCGACTGACCTGAGATGCCGCCCCCCACCACGACCACGTCGCACTTGCTGCTCATGGCGCTCTCCCAGCTCCGGGCCGCCCCGGTGCCCGCTGCTCCGATCTCCGGGCCCCGGCCCCCGCCCGGGGAGGAGCGGCCGGCCACCGCCTCCGCCCGCAGCTCCGCCGCCAGTCGGGGGAGGGCGGGCGCCTGGGAGGAGAGGTCACCTGGGGCCTACAGGAGTCCCTCCCGGAGCCAGTACCCCTCGGCCTTCTGCATGGTATTTTCCCTTCAACCTCCCTAGCTTGGGGGCTGGGAGGTTGGCAGGTTGGGGTGTCTTTCTCCAGCGCCCCAATTACAGCTCGGTAAGAAGCAAATAAGACATACTAATTGAGTGCTTTCCAGGTGCCGGGCACTGTGCTAAGAGCGCTTTACGCACGATTCCTGTGCAACCTTACAACAACCCATTTTACAGATAAGGAAAGCGAGACAACGCAGTGAGTGGCCAAGATAAGAAAAAAAGTCAGGGGGGGAAAAAAAAAAAAAACAGGAAGATTGGAAGGTTCCGAGACCCATTTCGATCCACCACACAGTATTGCCGTTTCTTGGCATACACTTGGGTGGGATTCCCAGCCCACCTCACCCTCCTTCCAACCCCCACTCTGTTCCCATTCCTCCTGCGTGATTAACTTAGGAAAGCTCCTCCCTAGCGTTGTAAATGCAGCACCTAAAGACACTCTTGTTTCCCCACTTTTGCAACTGATCAAAACAGCCAGCTGCACATTGAGCAACCCAGTATGGCAGGGGTGGAAGCTGTTGAGGCTGGACCCCAGGACGCTGGTGGCTGCAAGGGAGAGGTCTTAGATGGGCAGGGCGAGAGTCAGAGCCCCCTGAAGCAGCAAGCTGAGTTATTTTTGCGACCCTGGGATATGGGTCTGGAGGCCCTGCCTTAATCAAACATAGGGATGATTCAACAAGATTATGGGTGTTTAAGCTGACGTGGCTCCGCAGTAAAAGAGGTACAGAGTATTTTCTCAGAGCAGTAGGAAAGCCACCTCTGAGAACTGAAAGTGTGAGGAAGCAATGTAGAGTGGCTTTTCAAGAAATAATTGGCTGTGCCAGGTGCTTCTGTTCAGGCCAGGGGAGCTGCAGGCCTGGCAGGGACTGGCTCCAGGACTGGTGAATTGGTGAGAGCCTGAAGCAAACCTCTGCCTCATCCCACCGTGCTCCCTGTATTCACCTGCTACTAAGGTATCCTGAGCTTCGGCAGCCCTCTGACTAGAAGAGGGTTCGGGCACTTCTGTGACTGAGAAGTCATTGGTGGCAGAGAAGGTCTTTGTCCAGCTCTGACTTCGATTCTAGAAATTTCCATCTCTCCTGCTGTGGTATTAAACAGACCCTGTGCCTGAACACTGAGCCCACCCCATATTCCCAATGCAAGGAGCAAAGCAGGCTGACCCTGCAGACGGCCTGCACTAATCTCCTCCTTGCCATCTTCTACCTGGTCCACCTCTGTCCACAGGGTCCTGAAGCTGCGGGCTCCTTAGCTATGGAAACTCTGTCCCCTCACCTAGCCTGCAAATGAATCACGTGTCAGGTAAGGTGAAATGGATAGAGAGGATCTTTGTTGGATCTGCTTGGGATCTCTTTTGCTTGGTTCTAGCAATACAAAGTCAGCCAGGGGCCTGAGCATCTAAGACTTTGAGTCCAAGGCAGCTTGACCATCCCTTCTCTACGTCCAACTGGCCACGCGGGCAGGAGAGGAACCAGAGTTCCATGGTATCTGGAGAAAACTCACTGGCAAACAGCATTTTCCCCAGACAAAGGTAACCAGTGCCTTGTGCTCTGTGAGGTGAAAAATGGGTTGAATTAGAGCACAGGCCCTGGTTGTAGGGGAAACAGGAGCCATCAAAGGGTCTCTGAGGCCACACCTTGTCCCCACACACAGGCAGTCATCCAGGCTTGTTCAGGGCCCTCAGGCTCCTTGGTGGAGTAGCTCCTGAGGTTTGTCTTCTCCCTCTGCATTGTGTGGCTAGATGAAAAGCAGTGCTTCTCAAACTTGACTGTGCATACAAATCACCCGGGTCGGGGGTGGGGTCTGAGAAGGCACATTTCTAACAAGCTCCACGTGATGCCAGTGCTGCAGGCCCACGGACCACACACTGAGCACATTCTCCTCCACTCCAGGCTTCAGCGTCCCCGTCAGTTCCCGAACCAGCTCCGTGCTCTAGAGCCCATTTCCTATCTCAAGGCCCCCCTAATTAGAAGTTGTCCGTTCATTACATCAGCGTTTATGGAACGCCTGCTATGCTGAGCCCTGGGGAGGAGATGAACAAGACAGAGGCTGCCCTTGCCCTCACGGGGCTCATGCTCCACCAGGGAAGACATCCAGGAAGAGTGATCGCAAGCACAATTCTGCATATTGCTCTGGAAAATATCGCAGGGCCAGTTAACCTAGCCCAGGCAATCATGGAGGACCTCCAGGAGGAAATCATGTTTCTACTGGGACTTGAAGGATGAATGGAGTTAACCAATCCATTGAGGAAGAGGAGCACTCCGAAGTGAAAAGCAAGTGCTAAGTTGGGAGGCAAGCCTGAGGCTGGAGCATTGGAGGACATGGACACAGGCCAGTGTACCAAGAACATCTGTGACCACCTTTAGGACTTATCAAAAATGCCACAAAATTAAGAGTGAATAAGAAAATGATAACAATGCATGATTAACAATGAATAAAATGATAGGCAGCGTCATTTATTTTTGTGTGTGCTTTTGTCTTCTCTTCCCAACTAGGTAATAAATTCCTACAGGAAAGGATAATGCATTATCTTTTATTCATCCATTCAAGAATAATTTACTGAGCACCAACTCTATGTCAGGCATTGTGCTCATCATCAGAAATATGCCATTATGAATAAGAAATGATGCAAATCCTAGGAAACTAAATATGAAAACAGACAATTACAATAAACCTAATTCATGTCCAGTGGAGTGAGGCTCAACACCTCTAACCAAGAAACGCAGAAGAATGCTGTTTGCCCCTAACAGTGTTTATTTGCCTTTTCAACTTGATGAAATCTATGTTTCTTTCATCAATTAAAATGAACTTACTTTCATTTTTTATTAGAAGACTGCCAAAGAGATAAAATGTCCTCATTACTTCTTTCTTGCTGTCCAGCTTTTCATTAACGGATATTTCAGTGAGTCTGTTATGATGCCACGGGAGGTTTTAATAAAAACACAGGCTGTGCAGAACAGAGTTCACCAGATATTATCAAAGTTGTACATTTGACTTTTTTTTTTTTAATGCTGGAAGCTTGACAGGAGATGGAAAATTTGTTTTAAAATTAAATTCTTTAGAGCTTACCAGTTTCTTTTTCCCAACTACTCTGTTAATCTTTTTTAAAAACATACATAAAGGAATAAAATGATGAAAGCATCAACCATTGCAGCCAGGACAGCTTTTTAATAATATTAAATTGGAAGTGTTATAGGGCCCCTGGTTCTATCAAGTGAAGTATCCATTATTAGTTTGGATTCTAATCTGAGAATGTCCAAATCTCTTTCTTGGTGTAATGAGGAGGTGGTAGGGAACCCTTCAATGGGCCAAGACCTTTCTTCTGGCCCCAAAGACTTACTTAGAAGGAAATCTCATCCTCAAGCAGACCAAGAGTTAGGAGATCCCAGCTTCAGTACAAATCAAGGCCGTTCATTGGAAGTTGGGCTACAGAATCTAGATCTAACTCAAAATCCCATAGGTTTTTTTAAGATGCCAAAAGAAAGACCTATCCCAAGGCCAGGGGACTTGTCAAGACCTTGATCGAAGTGAACTTGTCAGGGAATGAGTCAAATAACAGGTGGGCATTCTCAGTTCACCTTAACAAACTGACAGCTCTGTAGATGTGCTGAGCTGGCTTATAGAAACGAGGTTGAGAAACAGAAAAATGACTATTCTTGCACAAAGAACCAGAGTATGGCTCTTTCCTCTATGACCTCATTGCCATAGCACAGGCAGCACAGGGAACACAAGGGCACAATACAGAGGTGCTGGCCCCAGAACAAATGGAGTCAGGCAGAGACACTAAACTCCAAGGCTTCAGAAAGATAGAGGTCATCCTCAGACATGTTGCAGAGCATGCTGAAGAAAAACAGGACCTTATTTGCATTATAAGTGCTAAACAATCCGTACCCAAAGTTAATCTTTTACAATGACTAATGTTAAAACTAAGAACATTTCTACAAATCTTAAGTAGGGTCCAAAACAAGGGGTGACATATTAGAAGAGATGGCATGAAAAGAGGGACACAAAGAGGGAGGTTAAATAGCAAAACATTAACTCAGAAAGAAGAGAAAATCAGAGGCAGACATTTCCCAAGAACATCAAGTTAAAGGTTTTCACACCAATTCTTTTGGTAAATAGGAAATTAGAAATTAATATTAGAGTCCCACCATATGCTCATTACTGGTTGTTGAATAGTTATTTTCAATGAATTTTTCTGCTTTATATAATTCTAATTTTATAGTGTGAGGAGTTCACTGATGCAGAATCAATTCTTTGGTTACTTTTGTACAGCCTTGAGTTAAATAATCTCTTCATGTTTTATTATAAATAGATATTTATCTCATCTAGACTTCAGACGGTGATTGCAATCAAAAGTTATCAGATAAGAAAAGTAACTCTTCTTGTAGATGGGTACCATAATAAGACATGTTTCTGGCTGGGAGGGTTACACGTTATAAAATGATGCTTATAGCTGGGACTTGAGTTAACTTGAACTCCTTTAAGTAATAGAAAGCCCATTTATATGAAATGGTTGAAACAAAGTGTTTGTAGTATAATAAGAAAGATATTTGGTGTTTGTCCCCTGTTCCCGTGTATATAAATGCCCTACTCCGTTTTCTGTTGCTATAACAGAATACCACAAACTGAATAATTCATAAAGAACAGAGATTTATTTGGCTCACAGTTCTGGAGGCTGGGAAGTCCAAGATCCTAGTGCCAGCATCTGGAGAGTTTTATCCCATGGTGGATGGGTGGAGGGTGGAAGTGAGTAGAGGAGACAGAGAAGGAAGTGGACCAAACATCCTTTTTATCAAGAACCCACTCCTGCAGTAACTACCCCAGTCCATGATAATGGCATTAATTCATTCATGCGGATAGACCCCTCGTGATCTAA